TTTCCAGATAAACTCAGTCTTGAAGCCAGGCTCAAAGCCATGTGGTGGGAAGATTTTGGTCTTTTCTCAGGCAGCCTCTGGGCCAGGTAGAGAACAGTTGTATTCACCTGCCCACTCAGCAGGCTGGTGGATTTGGTGGGAGGGAGAAAATGGAGAGTGTTTTCTAACTCTCAATGCACAGTCAGAGCCTGGTGCCCAGGAGGCTCCTGCCCACCCTGCAGGACAGGCAGGGGAGATGGTGTGGGTGAGAACCATTTGTCTTTTGATGTCTCCATTTTCTCTGCTCCAGCAGGACTCAGTCTGCTGGATACAAGATGTTCTTTCTGCCTGCTCTTGCCTGAAGAGCAGAGAGGGGTCCTGGAGGGGTCCCCTGCCCTGCATGGGATCAGCAGCTGCCCTGACTCTGGGCAGCACAGATCCGAGTCTGCAGGCAGGGGGGAGCAGGAGCAACAGGGGAAATGACACCTTTCCCAGAACAGGGGTGCTCAGATCTTCCCTGTAAGCCCCATATCCTTGGCATCCCTGGCAGAGCCAGGCAGGTCCCCTGGCAGGACCCCCCTGCACCCAGTGCTGATGGAGCTGGGAGCAGCCAAGAGCAGCCACATGGCAGAGTGCTGCCTGCACAAATAGGTACAGTGGCTCTTTGTCCCCCCTAATCCTTCTGTGGCAGAGCTTTTCTGTTCTGGAGATAATTTTTGCCTTCTTTTACATCTCCCTCTGGATGTATTCACGGCCTGTTGCAGTTGTTGCTCTGCCAGCTTTGTGTCTTCAGCTGTTTCTGTAATGCCCTGGTGCATTTAGTAGCAAAATTTGGCATTCCTGGCTGTTCTCCTATTCCCCTTCCAGCATCTCCCCAGCCTGCCCTGCACACCCCCAGCCCCTGGAGTCCTTTTTTTCCTGCAGACCGATTCCCAGGCACTGCTGTGCACTTTGGTCAGCACTAATTCCTCAGCCTGCTTTGTAGCTCTTTCCTGCTAAAGTTTTATGTGCTCTGCCACTCCAGGGTAGAGTCACCGAGTTCTTGACTCAGCCTGGCTCTGTGCCATGAGAAGAACTCGATTATTCTCACGGTCTCTGCTAAACCTAAGCCCAGCTGCACCAGAGGCAGAGTCAGAGCAAGTCCTTGTGTGGGCAAAGGGTACGTGCAGGCTGTGGAAGAAATTGCTCCAGGAGCAAAAGGTGACTCAGTGTGAAGACAGGAGCCAGCAGGTTGTGGAGACTTCAGTCAGGGTGTGCTCCCAAGGCAGCAGACACAGCACACAGAAACCACTTCATCAGGAATTGCAGGAAACTGCTGATGGATTTGTGCAAGGGCTGCCTCATAGGCAGTGGAGAGGCTGCCACAGCCATCTGAGAGGCAGAGGGAGTGTGTGACATTTGACTTTGGGCTGGATGGGTCTTTCTGGGAGCAGCACTGATTACAGAAAGCAAAGATTTCAGTGGAGCCAGCTCCATGGCAGCTGCCTTGTTGGCTCACATGATACAGGCACATCCAAACAGCTGCTGTCCTTCCTAAGATGCCATCTAAGCCAGGATAGTAGCCATCAGCAAAGAAATATGGAAAAGAGAGGTCTCCACTCACCAGAAAAATAAATATTGACAGTGGACATTGCTAGAGAGTCTGGATTCTTTCCATCATTTCCTGAAATCCTCTAACAGCCATAAGTGTTTAATTTACGAATGTAAAGAAGGGATTTTTTTCTTGCAACACTCAGTCTGTCTCCAGCGCCTCGTGCTCCTTTTCCTAGCCCTTGTCCTTGTGGTGACATCCCCTCTCCACTGCAATCCATAACTCTGTACTGGAGGCCACAGGTCTGCTTGGAATTACTGAGTCCTTCATCCTGGCACCTTGGAAAGAGCTTGTTTAATGCAAGTTCTGTAAAAGTGACTGATTTCCCTGAACCATGAGGCAATTAAGAGGCTTTTATATATCATCCATTTTCCATGCCCCTGGCAATTTCAAAACTATCCTTCTGGATCAAATGAAACATGCTATTTTATACCAAATGGTCTGTTCGTAGCTGGAGCCTTTCCGTTTTTATTTTGGTGATTAGGAAACTGCTTCTAAACATGGAGGTTGCAAAGTTGAGAGCTTTTATTTTGAGCTATGGCATCCCAATATTTTAACCTAGGTTTACAATGGATTGCTTGACAGAACCAATTTAGCACAAATGGGGCAAATACATCAAATATATTTCAACCAGAAAGGATTTGGCCCATTTTTTATATTTAGCTGCATTAATGATCTTTGCCAACTGCTTTGCCATTTGCAATGAAGTATTTCAGCAATGATGCTGCTGTTCCTTTATTTCCTCAATCAGAAGTAGATTTTTACAGAAGGGCTTTTTAATTTCTTCGTGCAGCTGCATATCTGTCATAGTCCAAGAACCCAGCTCAGGGGATTCTTGGCTCTTTGAAATCTCTTTTTCAACCCGGTGGCACCTTTACAAGCTTGCATTCCCTCAGCTTTAGTGTTTTTATTACTCTTTCCCCCCAGAGCAGCTGTGGGGCTCTGGGAGCTGGCCAGGCTCAGGGAGGAGGAGGAAGCTGAGGTGTTCCTGAGCACACTGTGACTCCAGGGGTCAGTCACCCAGCTGACAAATCCAAAAAACTCTCATTCATGAGCAAACCAAATGAGTCAATATCCAGATATTTGCAGCAGGGAAGGCAGACAATCAAAGGGGACACAGTCCCTGTGGTTCTGCTCGGTGCTGGGCTCAGGGGAGCCTTGCTGCTGACACCAGGGGCCTCCAGGAAAGGTGGCACAGGGGACAGGGGCAGGGCTGAGCCCAGCCAGCAGTGACGCCGCCAGGCTCAGCTCATTGCACAGAGCTTTGGCAGGGCTTGCTGGTGAGCCAGGGCTGCTCTGGTTTCATTTACGTTTTCTTCCATGATCTTGTCATCGCCTCATGATGGATATTTTTTTATATTTTTTTGCAACTTAATCCCATTTACACAACAGTTAATAAAACCTAAATCCACTGCCTGTGCCTGCCCTGACCTGAGGCTCTGGTACAGCACACACAGGGATTGTCCCTGCCTGTCCCGCAGCTTGCTGGGACACCGCTCACGGCTTCAGTCAGTGAGGCTGGAGCCAGCCAAGCCCTGGGCACATGGCCTGTGCAGAGCTGTGCCCTGGGACACTGGTGTCCCAGCCACCCACGGCAGTGCCTCCCCCAGCTTTGCTGGAATGGGCATGGATCCTCTCCAGTGAGCCTCAGCTGAGTCCTGCAGGAGCAGCCTGGCTGCACCTGCACTGCCAGGGCAGGAACAGAGCAGGAGGAGCAGTGCCAGCACAGCGGCACGAGGAGAGGAAGGGAAAAGCACTTGCAGTACACAGAGGGGTTGTTTTGGGCAGGACATGGCCAAAGCAGCTGGACCAGCAAGTCCAGCACAGACCTGCACCCTCTGCTCCTTCCCAGGTGCTCCAGTGCTGCTGGATGTGTGGTGGAGCTCTACTATTGCAAATCCCAACTATGCATTTTTTCCAACCTAATCTTCTCAGGAATTGACCCAGTTCTAGCATTTGGGAACTGGCATTCACTCTACTGGCAAATGTTTCTTATTTGTTTCGAGCAATGTGTGCAGTGTGACCTTTTCTTTTTAAAGAGCTTACACAACAGGAATACATGAATGCTAAATTCTAATCTTGCATAACTCTGAAAGCAGGGCCGTACATTTACCAGCAGTAAGGGACTTTTCCCCCCATCCTTTGCAGGAAGTAAGAAGGAAAATCCAGCAGTGTGCAATTTCAGTGAGAGCACAACTCTCCCATAACCCCCTTACCCCCAAAATTCACAGGGCTGTCAAGGTTACAGTGTTAGCACTGCACATTCCTGTGTGTCTATGCACACAGAGAAATGGAGAGGATGCCTGGCAGCTGGAAAGGGGCCTGATCCTGGCCTTGCTGCTCCAAAACATTCCCACTGACAAGAGCTGGGAAGTGACAACACATCCATTCCGCCTCTCATCAAACAGTGATGCCCTAAGTCCTGTACAGGTGCTTGGAGGACACTTTTCTTCCTAACAAGAAGCACTCCTTCAGTTCCTGCTGTCATTTCTCATGCTCTTTGTATGCCTGAACTCTTTCCCAATACGCCTAAATCTGGCCCATGGGAAGAGTCAGCCTGAGCCACAGCTCATTTCTTGTCAGGGCACGCACAGCCCAGCTCTGCTCTTCCCAAAACATCCCCATTGTCCCTCCTGGAGGGCACTCACTGCAGTCACATTCCTGCAGCTCACAGGAGGCAGCAGGGCCGTGACTGACTCATGTATGACTGGCCATGACCTTGAATGATCCTTGGCAGGTCTGCAGAAACCATCAGATGTTTTTCCAGCAAGGTGTATTTGGTAATAGATTTCTCACCTGCAGTAAGCCAGGTGTGGTGGAAGCACCTGCTCCTTGCAGGGTTCTCCAGGCTGGGGAGGGCTTGCAGGAGACAAGGGATGAAGTAAATGGAGACGGGCAAGGCTGCACAAACTCGTGGCTGAATGCCTGCCGGAGCAGAGGGGCGAGGAGGGGGATAATTCACTGCATTCCCTGCAGAGCCCCAAGAGCCAGGAGAGGCTGGATTGGTTCCAGAGCCAGCGAGATTCTGGGAATGCTCTGTGGTGGGTCCCACTGGGGGAGGTCCTGGGGACCCCCTGGGGGAGCCACAGGGGTCAAGGCAGTGCGTGGGTCTGCAGTGAGCCAGGGGCTGTTGCTGCCAGCTGTCACCAGCTCCAGCTGCACTGATTCTGTCATTTGGTTTTCATCTTAATGAATCACTTCAATATTTCAAACATACCTTTGACCCACTTGAGCACGTAACAACAACAATTAGCACCAGCACCTCATAAAACCCAGCAATGTTCCCTCTGGTGATTAGTAAATCCTCTGACCGTGTGGCCAAAGCCATCACATTGCAATGCAACATCTGATCCCTGGGGAGCACAGAGAGAAGTCTTTAAAAACCACAGGATTTCTGTGAAATGCAAAGCTTTGAGCCATGAAGCTGCCGAGGAGCCCCACACTCCAGAGATAGATGGGTTCCCACGCAGCTAGAGGTCAAGGTAAGAGCACTCTGATGATTTTAAACCTCCACGTGAAAGCATTTGTTTATTTTTACTTGCCTTCTGAAATCATATGAATATATTCAAATCACCTTACTGGAAATGAAAAGAAGCTTTCTGTGCTAGCATGCACACTCAGTCCCTGGATGCTGCTGCTCACCAGCTCCGAGCTGGAGCTGCTGCTTCTCCAGCTCTGCAAGGCAGCTCTCCTCTGCCACTGCTCCCTTGGACCTTTCTGAAGCACAGACCCACTGCCTACAGGTTTGTACTGACACTGGTTTTGTCCTGTGTTTGATAGGTCAAAGAAGTAATTCCTCTGATTTCTTCTGCCTACACGTTCTCGCTTCACAGTGAAACAGAAAAATTACTGCTATTGCTGTAATAATAATACTTATGTAATAACTATATTTATGTGATGGATTTATGTGATATAATAGTTACAATTATGTGATGGATTGGGGGGATTTGATGTTAATTTAAATAGAAAATTTGCTGTTAAAATTGTTGTGTATTTTTAGTTGCTGCTATGTGCTGCCAGCTCAGATTTCTGGTTAATTTTAAACATGTACAGATACCCTGGCCAGCACAACCTGTCTCCTCCTCTGGCTCTCCTGAGCCACTTCTTCCAGTGATGGAGGGTTTGTGTTGGCTCCAGTCCTCAGAGTTCTAAAGATCCCTCTGACCTGAAGTTCTGTTGTCCAGCAGAGCCCAAGTTTCCCATTTCTGCACGGTAGCTGTGGGTTCTGAGGAGGAAGCAGCTGTGCCAGAGTCTGACCTGGGATTTCACCTGCTTAAACCAGGCTTGTGTGGGCAATATAAAGTGAGTTTGTTTTCTGAATAGATCTCAGTGATAAATTGCATGCTCACACTGAGGCTGCCAATTTCTTACTTAAGTGGAGCTCAAGCAGTGTCCTCAAGGTTCCAGGAAGATTAATGTCTGTATCTAGACCTATTTATATACCAAGATCTGTATCTATATCTAATCTATATCTCTCTCTCATCCTCCATCTCTATCTAATCTATACCTAGACCTGTATCTATATGAAAAAAATTAAAACCCTGTCAGAATGCATGTGCTTTCTGGCACAGGGAAGCATGCTGATCTGGGGTGTCTGTAGGCAGTAATTTCTACCCACCTTTAGCATGAAATCTGAAGGAAAGAGTAGCCTCCTCCCTGCAAACTCTGCTCCTTTCCCTCTCAGTCCCCATCTTCCCTCCAGCAGACTTGCACAGGTAGAGAAATTTGTCCCCTTCAAATATTGCCATGACAACTAAGAATTCTCACAAACATTCCTACCATTCCTACCTGTCCTGAAACAGCAAAGGCAAAAGGTGGGGATAGTTGCATAAGATGTGTCTAGATACGACAAGGCTCAGGCATTCTGTTTTCATTTTTTTTTAATTAAAGTATCACTGGTCCAAGGCACTTCCTGTGGCAGGGAGTTGAATCACTTTCCAGAGAAGGCATGAGACAGAGGGCTGGTGATTGAAGTACTGACACACTTCTGGAGAGTGCGCTTAGCTGGCCAGAAACTATTTCAAATGAAGCCACGTTTGGCCATCACCAAAAGCTGCAAAGAGAAGTCCTCTGGGAAATAATTAATCAGCCTTGGTAAACAAGTAAAGCCACGCTCATTGTCAGTACTGAGCCTGCAGAGGGAACACCAGGTCAGTGCTGAAGCCTTTGCCCTCTGCTGTGTCTCCACAGCCCCTCAGAGCTGCTGCAGGACTGCTCTCCTGCCGCCTGCCACGGCAGCCTGTCCCTGATGGCTCCCCGCAGGCTGCCCCTGCTCGCCGTGCCGCTGGTGTGGGGCTGGCTGCTGGCCTCCTCCTCCTCCTCCCCCAGCTCAGGTAAAGCTCGGTGTGCTCTTGTGTCATTGCTCGGTGCTCACTTGGGCCCTTTGGGGGGCTTCTCCTTCAGCCAGAGCTTTTCTTCTCTGTGTGTGCATTGCTGTGAGAGTGCTGGTTCATAAACATGTAATCCATTGTGTAAATATGTTATGTGTTTAGTGGCTGTTTTCTGAGTGGATCTGAAAGGAGAAGAGGCAGTCTTTGGTGCACAGCAAGTATATTTGTTTGATAGAGAGTTATCAAATAGAAACACTGCTATAAATGCTCCTGAGCATGGTCCCAGACACAGAGACTGTGCTGGGTGTAAGAAACACAAGGCTTATTTGTACTTGGAGAGTAATGCTCCTGAGAGAATACTGCTCTGCAAGCTGTCATTCATGCAGTGGCACCTCAAGCACCCTTTGCTTCCAGCCCTCGAGCAGCCCTTTGCTGCACTGCACTGCAGGCAGCTGGCATTTGCACCCAGAGAGATGCTGAGCAGGTCTGGCCCTCCCTGGTGGAAGCAGTGCATGGTGCAGAGGTGAGAACATGCCCAGGAGGCCACTGAGAGACTGCCTGTCCTGCCAGCCAGCACGCACAGAAAGCTGCCACAACCCCCTGTCGGAATAAATCAGGCAAGGCTCCGTTTTCCTCATGTGGGCAAAGCCAAAACTTTATTCACATAACTTATTTTGTACAGTTTTCACAGACCTCATGTGCAACATCTATTGGCTGGTAGTTTTCTTACTGCATTTGTTGGTCAGAAGGTGATTTGTGTGTATGTGCTAAGGGTGAGGGTGTTTACATTTATCTTTTGTGGGTTCTCATGGAACAGATCTAATGTTTATGCAGGTGTACTTATTTTTCACCCAAGCATAGGTTGTTATGTTAACAAACCATTCATACCAAGATTGTTTTCACTTGGAAACTTGCAAAGTACTAGCTGCACTTAGAAGAAATGACAGGCCAGCTATGAATCCAGCAGAACAGGCCTGATTTTATGAGGCTTTTCTTTTATAGTCCTTTTACCTGTCTATGACCACTCCCCCTGCTTCCACTCTGAGCAAAGCCTGCTGTCTTTGAAATGGGCTCCAGAAAACATGAGTGTCACCTCCACCTCTCTGAACAGCACAGGGAAAGGCAGACATAGAGGGGGACATTTGAGGGGACACCTGGCAGGCTGCTGGTTTTCCACCGGCAGAACAGGTGGAAAATTGCAAACCCCACCTGCATCTCAGAGGGCGTGGTGTGGACAGATGTGGTGGGGGCAGATGGGGACAAGCAGGGGTTTGTCACCTGTGAAAAGCCCCCCCTGAGGTTCCCCTGATGGGGACACCCCTAAAAGGTTCTGTGCCAGGATTGAGAGGTGAACAGCACTTTTGGTTTGTTGGTCTTCAGGTTGTTGTTTATTTTTCTCTTTATCAGCAGTTCAGCACACTGTCTACATACCAGACTTAGCACACAAAGGGAAGGCACCAAAAAGTCACAAGACACACCAGTTCATCGTCTTTTAAAACTATTTTGTCCAATAACTCTTGGAATGTATTTTATTTCTACCTTTCTACCGATAATTAATTATTTTTCAGTTCATGCAACATCTGCATTGGGGCTCTTTCTAACCAGTCACCCTGTGCCCCCAACACTGCAGAAAATGGAGCAGATGAAGAGCAAGAAAGAGATCGGACAATGCCCAAAATCCTCCATCTTGTCTTCTATCCACCTCCATACTAAAACCCCAAAACTCTGAGTTGTTCACGCTGTGATAAACTGTGCCACTGTCTATTTCACACACTCATAGATTCCAATCCATCCCAAAGTCTTGGCAGCTTTCTCCATGGAGGAAGATTAAAAGCAGTGTTCTCCTGGGGGTCAGGACTTCTCAGGCCAGGCAGAGAAACATTCCCTGTGCCCTGGGTTCCAAGAGTCAGCAGGGCAGCGATGCTGGTGGCAGCGTGCCCAGCAGCGGGAGGGTGGCAGGGAGGGCTGTGGCTGCCTACAGCCAGCTCAGCATTGCCTACTCACCACCACAAACATTCTCAGGGGGAGAAGCTGTTAGTTTGGTTTTTTCCAAGAAACATCCAGGAGCAGCTTTCCTTCAAGACTGCATGGTGACATAGAGCATTTCTAGTCCTGTGTTCTGTGTGAGTGATGGGGATGTGAGCGAGACTGCTAATGTGTTATTGTGAAAATGAGAAACTGCAAGAGGCAGTGCTGACATTTAAAAAACAATGAAACTCCAGAATGCAAGCAACATCCCAAAGAGAAGCTTTTCTGTTCCCTCTGAAATCCAGTCAGATTTTTTTTTGTAAGAATTGCTGTTGACAATTACAATTGTTTTGAAAAAATACTTCTGTTTTGCTCAAGCTCAAGATATAAATACATTTCAGAGCATTCTCCTATCCAGACAGAAATTCCAGTTCTGACCAATCTAATTGTCTTTTGACAGCTTATCATGACAAAGGCTAGCAGCTCTTTGCTTCCTTGTTTGCACTTCTGTGAGGCACAGCATTTATACACTCAGGAGGAGCCTCCCAAGCCCTTGGTCCAGTGTCATCCTAAATGCATTCCTATTTCACCATCTAATGTAGTAACAAATCTCCCATGAAGCTTCACATACTGGGAAAAGTGGAATTTTCAAACTGCTGCCTGGAGTGTGTTTTATTTGGGAAAATTCCTGTAGAAGAAACAAATCCTCCAGCAATGTACCCTGCAAACTTTCCAGGGAGCACATTAAACCTGGATTTATGTCACCATCTTCCACTGAAAAATATCCTTATGGTTTGCTTTCACAATGGATTTCTTAAAAGAATAAAAGAAAAAAATTGTGTAAATCCTGATGAAGACATGTCAGAGAAGTCAGTGATCTGGAGGCCAGATTCAAAGGGAGAATGGTGGTAATTCTGGACTGGCTCTGCCAGGACATGGGCTCCAAATTCCTGTGAAATGAGGTGTATCATGCAATGAATATGTAAAAACCAAATGGATAATCTCGCCTCTAGATAGTGGAGAAAAATGACCTTGGATGTTGACAAAAATTGGCTTTGTTTCAGCTAATAAAACTGAGCAACCACACGGTTTTTGTCATGTGAATGACAACTCCATATAGAGCTGGACCTTTAGGACATGTCTGAGTATGGAATTCATCCATACTTCCTTATTTATTGACACATATCAGCACCTTGAAATGCATTTATAAAAGCCAGCTCAACTGTAAAGGCATATTTTTGTATAGCTGATAGATGTCCAAAATAAGAACTATTCTAATTCTGTGCTTTTTACCTTTTTTTCCTGGTTTTTTTTTTTTTTTTCTTCACAATAATCTTTAATACTCTTGAAAGAAATATTTAAAGCAATATAGGTGATTTGTGTCTATTATGGCAAAGGAAAGTAAATCCCCCTGAGAGCATGCTTTGATCTGTCATCCTGTGTTGGTGGATGTGCTGAACACAATGTTTGCAGAAATAAGTGTCCTGAAGGTAGGTGAACACCAGGGGTTGAAGGTAAGCAAATACAGGACATGAAAGGTCATCCCAGGACAGCAGTTTTGCTTAAAACATCTTGAAAAAGGGTGTGAAAAACTGTCATTCTGCGTGCCTTTTCAATGATCTTGAGTGCTTTCTCAGCAAAAACTGGTTTTTGGGGTGTGGGCAGGGGCAGAGCTTGAGTGTGTTTGTTGGACAGCCAGGGCTGCAGCACTTCCCTCCACATCCAGCAGCTGCATGTCAACAATTCACAGCAAAGTATCACACTGACTGTTGCGTGGCTGCTTTGGGTTTGTTTTCTCCACTTTGACTCTCTGTTTCACCCTCTGCTTTGTTTTTAATGTAGTTGCTCCCCCACGGGACCTTCGGATCACTGACCCCGGGCTCCTGGGCTCTCTGGATGTGGAGTGGAAGCCTCCGCCCCACGGCCAGGCCTTGGAGGAGTGCACAGTAAAATACAAGTTTGAATATCGCAGCACTGGGGATAGAGACTGGAAGGTAAGGCACAGCAATAATCCTCCCAAACCAGGGCTGTTGTTCTGCCCTTACTTCCTGCACAGATTTATGTCTGCATTTCAAGCAGGAGTAGAACCAAAGCTGTTCCAGTTTTCCATGAGAAACCAGACTGTTTCAGTGGTTTGAATGGGAATGTGCTTTGAAATGTAGCAGCAGCAGCCAGGGAAGGGGTTCTTTCTGTCACAGGGCTGGGTGTTTGCTGCCCAGAATAATAACATTCCTCATTGTAAAAGGAAAAAATATTTACAATTTTCTAAAGCATCTTTATGGGGCTTGAACTGAAACAACAGATCCTTAGGGATGTGGTGAACAAATAAAAGTTAAATTTCATTAATTATCCTAATGCTCTAAAATTCCCTCTACCCATAACTGTGTTCCTAATTACCATGTACTTCTCTCTTTTAGATGTGGTTGACTCTAGCTCAGCTCTTTGATAAAATAGTCAGTCATCTCTCACTGATGTGTAGCAGGGCAGGAGCAGGCACAGCACAGGAAGGGTTGTTGGAATATATTTTGTCAGTGCTTAGAAGATGAAAGCTGCTGCAGGGTTAGGAAGGTAAAAGGAATGGGGAGAGGAGAAACCCAGCAGTGGGGAGCTCTTTGGTTGGCACAAGGTACTGAGGAACACATGAAAAATATGCTGAGGATCTCCCTCAACAGCCTAAAATACAGAATGAAATCCTGAAAGAATAAGGATGCACAATCCTAAAGCAGGAGAGCTAGAGGGCTTGACCAGAGAGAGAAGGAGCATTCAGTCAGGCTGGCAGTGCTGGAGCCCAGCTCCTTGCTGGAACAGGTCACTGCTTCACTGGCCTGGGGCACAAAGCCAAGGCTGCCAAGTTGTGCTCAGCCCCCACAGAAATGGGGTTGGGCCCAGCCATCCCAAAAGAGCCTGCAGAGGGAAAAATCCTGTTTCAGCTATGGGTTGCAATTGCAAGGGCATGGAAAGGGGCTCCTGGACCTGATGCTGGTCATGATGCACCCCATGCTCCCAGCTGTGCAGCAGTGTGCATCTGTGCAGAGCCCTCCAGGATGATTTTAACTGCAATTTACAAGAAAACCATATACAGTTTCCAGAAAAAAAATAAAAAAAAATCCGAATTCCTGAGGTCATGTGTAATAAAAGTTTCTTATATGAGGCAGATGTACAGACTAGAGCAAAATCACCTCTGACAGCTTGCCAAAATGTTGACCTCAGATAAGGTCATGAAGAACAGTCAGGCTGAAGAAAATCCTTTGGACAAGTGCAGAAGATGATCAATGACAGCATCATTGATATCTGTTAGAAATACCTGGCTCACCAGAGCTCTCACACCTGGGGAGTGCTGAGAGCAGCCTGACTGTGGGCTGTGCCATTGCTGTTCCCACTGCAGCACACGGATGCATTTTGTGGCACAGATGCATTTATGGCACTTTACCTCTGTCCTACATGAGCTAACACAACACTTTGTCTCATCATTTGTTATAAACCTTGTCAACTTCATTGTCCTTGCATAAAGTTAAGGGGAGTAAGGCTGAGATTAAAAAAAAAAAAATAAAAACCTTCAAGGGGGTGCTCAGAAAGTCCCACAAAGGCTAAGCCAGGTGGTACACAGTGGTGGGTGAGGGTGGGCTGCTGTGCCTGGCTGCTGGTTCACCCTTTCAGGGGCTGCTTGTGCTTCAGCCTTACAAGACTCATTGTTCTTTCTGTTTCTGATTATTTCATACCATTAAAAAAATGCCTTTTATGTGGATTTCTGCTCCTTGCTGCTGGGGGTCCCATTAATCAGCCTGCTCTGCCTTGTCCTGGCTGGCTCCTGTGGGGTGAAGGAACTCACAGCCAGCAAGGCTGGGCACAGCAGACATGGATTAATGCTGGAGGAGCGCTGGGCAAGTGAGGCAGGACAGAAATATAAAGAGACAATAAAGCACACAAATGAGGCTATTTGCAGCTGGAGCAAGAGCAAGGGTACCTAATTCTGCAGCCCACTTAGTGACAGAAGAGGTGCTTAAAAAGTCTGTCTTTCAACCAGGTTATTTTTACTAGGAAGCTAAAACTCAGAGTTGGATTTGACCTGAGCAGGACTGCTGAAGTGAGGCTGCAGACACTGCTCAGAGGACAGTGTACAGGTGATGTGGAGGTGCAGAGTGACTGGATTTATGCAACCTTTCAGATCCCACCACAAGGTTAGGACCAGCCTGTGGTACCTGCTGCATTTGGGTGCTTTGCATGAGCCTGTTTCATGAACCAGTGCTGGCTTGAGGGTTCCTGGATGGATAAATTATTGCAGGGCTTGCTGCTGTTTAAGACACTAGAGCAGCTCTGCTACCAAAGGCTGTGGTTGTGGTTACTGGATACCTGGGGCTTCTTTCCCTCTGCCCGTGCCCAAGCTCTGCTCAGCTGCCCTGCAAGAGCTCCACTGCTGAATGAAAAGGTCATTTAAGCATCTTTCTGCTCTAAGGTGGACTGGCTTTTATGAGAAATGGAGCACTCGGCAGTAAAACTAATAATTCTGACTGGCTGACTTTTCTTTTTTCCTTTCTTTTCTTTCCATTTTTTATTTTTCAACTGCAGCACACAGTTGTTCAAAGGCATAAAACTGTGGTTTTGCTACATCTGACTGATACACTGCTAAACAGTGGTTATTTCCTTCTCATTTGACAGGAAAACTTGAATCAGAGATCCAGAATTTCAACTGCATCTATCATGACTGGGAATACCTGAAGTGCACCTGGCAGCCAGGTCTCCTCACACCTCGTGGTGTACATTATGGGCTATATTATTGGTATGTAACAGCAAAATAGGAAAACATCCAGACAGCAATCAAGTGAACCACTCAGAGTACAAAAATGCCACAGTAAATATGCTTTTACAGCTGGCAGTGCTATTGCCCAGTTCACCCAGAATGAGCCAAAATAATGTCCTAAGCAATACACAGCTTCTGGCAAGAAAACACCAAATCCTTTCTTACTTTCTTAAAATCAGGCCCATGCTGATCTTTGCCAGGAAATATCTTCTCACTTCCTCCTTTCCTTTTATTATCCCCAGGAGGTGTTTTCTGCATGTTGTCCACCATAAAGACTTGTGTTTTCTCTTTGCTAAACACACCTGGATAGCTCTGGCTGCACATTTCCCATGATCACAGTTCATATATCTCAACTGGACAGGATTTAGCACAAGGCTACCAAGCTCAGTGAACCCTAGACACAGAGTGGAGCTTCTCAGCAACTTAGAGTTTTAGTGTTCAAATATATTTTCATAGCCTCAGCACATCCCATACAAGCAAACATGCTGCCACAAGGTAATAATAATACATAACTCTCAGCTGTTTCTTTTAAACTGGTGCCTGAATTCTGTTCTGCAGGAAAAACAGCTAGAATTAGTGGTTTGGGACAAAGAAAATACTGTGTTTGTGCTTCAGCTCCTATGATATTATGGAAAGGATGACTTAGGCTGGGTTTTGTGCCACTGGGCTATGTGGAGAAAAGCATAGCTGCATTTTAAAGAGATTCCATGTAGTTCTTGGAAATAGTCTTCAAAGGAGAAGCACCGATTCAAAACCATCTTGCTAGCTGCAAAGATCTGCTTAAAGGAAACCATGGAAATGCATGATTCATGCCTAAAAGGAAAACAAACACTAAAAAACCCAACCTTGATTCAATTGCCTTCAATAAAACCAGGCATTTGGATCTGGGTCCCATTTTATCACAAGATTGGGTGGACACCACGGCATCCTTTGATCCCTGTGAGCAAATTTTTATTGTACTAGAACATGAAGTTTTTCCCCCAAACATAATGTGCTGTGCAAGGAGACTTTCATTAGGTTTGGAGTACAGGGGCCAAATTCAGCCCTGTCGTGAGGGCATAAAACAGCAAGAATCTTAAAAGGCAGTATGAGACACCAGTCAGTATTTCCAGGATGCAGCCAGCAGCTCAGCTTTGGGGAGTGGCCCCCAAAGGCAGAAGGGACAGGGTTGTGGCTGCACATTAAGTAACAAATAGCAAACCCCTTCCTGGCAAACCCTGAGTTTCCATGTGCCCGTGGAGAGCCATGGGAATCACCTGATGTAAGCCACAGCAGCTCAGCAGCACTCACTACCCTCCCGGCACACATCTCCTGCCTAAAACCACTTCATTTTGGTCTGGGAGGGGACTTTTCTGCAACTCCAGGGTCTGTGGATGATGATGCAGGAAGGGCCCTAGAGGAGCAGGACTGATTCTATGAGTAGAGGCCAGATCCTTTCCCAGCTCCAGTAACACAGTGGCACCTGTTGTGCTCCAGGAATGGGCTTGGGGAGAGCCTGGCACAGCCTAAAAACTGACCTGAGAAGCTCTCTGTGCATGTTAATTTGGATTTTTTCTCTTCTCCACACTTTTGCCATAGCAGGAGTCCAGGTGACTGACCCACAGCACTGTGCTTTGGACAAAGGCTGGGATTTGGGCAGTACTTGAGGCTTAGGTCCAATCTTATAAAAAACATTATACTAAGCAGTAATTTGCTTTAGTTCTTTTTTCTGTTTCCCTGCCCACTGCCAGGTACGAGGGGCTGGAGCAGGCGCTGCAGTGTGATCACTACATCCAGGAGCACGGCGTGAACCTCGGCTGCGTGCTGCACAACCTCAGCCAGGCAGAGTACAGGGATCTCAACATTTGTGTCAATGGCTCAGCAGCAGCCACCCTGCTGCAGCCGCTGTACACCACCCTGCGCCTCCACAACCTCGGTAAGGATGGCAGGGAAGCCACAGGGGACCCTCGTGCCACCACACACCCCAGGCCCACTTCCTGCCTTAGGGGACTCCATTCAATGTGTGCTTTTGTAGCTAGGTGGTTGGAACCTGTGCCTTTCCCCCAGGGAAGGGGCTGTGCCATGTGCCAAGCAGGACTTCAGTTTCCAGGAGTGTTTGGAGGCAAGCAACACCACCTAGCACAACCCTGGACGTCAGTGGGTGCCTCCAAGTGCTGCACTTGGCAGCTGGACAACTCATGACATAAATGCCTGCTGGGCATGTGGCAGAGCAGCTATGGGGTTTTTGGCTGCAGCAGCACAGTCACAGAGATATCTTCATTTACTCCTGCTGGAACTGAAACCACTGCTGCGCTCCTTGCAAGCACAGGAGAGCTCTTTGGGCTTTGCTGTTCAAACCAAGCTAAGGTGTGGGGTGAGCTGAGTGCAAGGTGTGATGGGCTCTGCCAGAGATGGATTTCAAACCCGTGGGAGACAGGAGGGAAAGGGAGCAGAGCACGGCATAATGTGCAAACATTACATGCACTTGGTGTTTATTAGGGTGTATATTAATTAAATGCACTCACCGTGCTGGTGCATTTGCCTACATGCCAGAAGGACAAATAGCCAATCGTCCAGCTGAGCCGCTGGGCTAGCGAGCAGCATTTCTGAATTCAATTAGTGCTGCCACGTGCCTCGCGTATGGCTCTGGGTATGGGACACGAATCAGAGCCTTCTCTGGATGCAGAGCGTGCAGGATGGGTATGGGAGATGAACCAGAGCCTTTTCTGGATGCAGAGCGTGCAGGGTGGGTATGGGACATGACCCAGAGCCTTTTCTGGATGCAGAGCGTGCAGGGTGGGTATGGGACATGACCCAGAGCCTTTTCTGGATGCAGAGCGTGCAGGGTCCCTGCAGGGGCCAGGCTGCCCCGGCAGCGCGGGGAACGCACCGGGCACGGCGCTCACACCCCGCGCTTCCAACCCCTGCACCCAGCCCAGAACAAGGACTCCGGCCAACCTGTGCGTCAAGTTAAAACAAACAACACACCCTCCAGACTCGGCGACATCCTGCTCCTGCAGCATGGTGGCCGAGAGCCAGGAGCGCTCAGAAATCCCATCGGCGGGGACAGGGACCGAGGCTGGCGGGGATGAACTGCAGCCTTTCTGCCAGGAGCTGTCCGAGCGCACTCCTGACCTGGTCTCTCTCTCTTCCCCTCAGCACAGCCCTCGGCCCCGGAGCAGCTGGTGCTTTCCGTGTCTGCAGCGCAGGAGCTGCTGGCCGCCTGGAGCCCCCCGGGCGGGCGGGTGCCGCCGCACTGCCTGGAGTACGAGGTGCAGGTGGCAGAAGATGCGGGGCAAGCCGCGGCTGCCTGGGCGGTAGGGACAGCACCCGCGGTGTCCCGGGGACGGGCAGGGGTCGGGGAGCCTGGCCGAGCAGTGGGGGCACGGGCTGCAGCAGGGTGTGGGTTACCCGGCGGGATCGTGACCGGCTGCTGCACCGCACACGCTCCTCCTTAACCCCCTGACCTGCAGCTGCAGCTCTGCTGGAGCAGGAACAGAGCCCAGCAGGAGGCTCCAAGAGAGCGTTTCCTCCTGCCTGCTATCTCAGAAAACTGCCATCGAGGAAATTTAAAGGTTGCTGCGGTTTGTTCCCCTGAATGGGGTAGCATAACTTGGACCTATGAGTCTGTAATTCTAATCTCTCAAAAGGAGTGGCCTGGGACAGAACATATCTTTTATGCACGGTGCTTTTTCCTTGTATGTTATCCAGGTGCAGTTTGGAGGCAAAACCGAAAAGGGATAATTAATCATAGGGGACGTCTCTTTTTTAATTGCCATATTCCACTCCTGAGTCTACTTGGGTAATTAAAAGAAAGATTCCGTAAATTAACAGACATAAATGGTTATATACATGATGACACCTCCAGAAAGTATTTTCAGTAGATTTGTCTTCATAGTCATGTTATTTGCATAAGCTTGTACAAAACTATTGTGAAATCATTTAAAACTGCCAAAAGATAATCCAAAGGTTTACAGAGCTTGGATAATGTGCAGGAACATCAGGCCACATTAGACAGATCCAGGTGGTGGCACGAAGTTCCTTGATATTTCTTTCTCTTTTGTTTCTCAGTCTGTTTCGACCCAAATGGAAACTGCTGTAACAATTTCCAGAGCAAATCAAAGCCACGTTTCATGTGTTCGTGTCAGGGGGAGAACAAACATTTTTTGTGCTGACCAGGGCTTTTGGAGTGAATGGACGCAGGATTGTTTCTCTGGTATGGAACTCAAAATAAATGCTGTTTCTTTTATATGATTTATAAAACCTGTTTGGTTGCAAGTGCTGATGGCTGCCCAGGGGACCTGCTGGTGTCCAGCACTGGAGGTGGGCTGCTGGTTTAGTTCCACCTTCAACCTGCTCCAGCACAGCCATTCCTGCAGCTTTGCATCTCCAGTGCACTTAGCAGGCGAGCCCAAAATACTAATGCTTCTGCAGCAGCACCTTTCCCTGCTGCATGGGGACAGCTGGGATGGAGGAGTGGCTGCTGAGCAGGAGAGGGCACGGGGTACTTGCAGTCTCTGCACAGAGCATCCTCCTGGCCATTCTGCACCACAGATCAGCTCCTCCTTGTGGGCTCTCTTGGGCTGTCCTTGTGTGCATTGGCTCTGCTGCAAGGTGCAGAAGGCAGGGGAGAGGCACATAGCATTGACTGCATCAATGTGCCAGAGATATAATACCCTGAAGGAGGATGTCACCCCACCCAGTAACACATACCTGTAACAAACAAATAAATAAATAAATATGTAAAAACATGTAGGGTAACCTGGGCAAGGTGAGTTTGTGTCTGAGCCCAAGCTCTGTAGGAGGTAATTGAATCCATTCTAACATCTTCTTATTTCCTGCCATTTATCTTTGCAGTGCCCAGAAAAGAGGACAAGCAGCTATTTGTTCTCATTCCAGTCATCCTGAGTTTGTCAATTAGCCTCATAATATTTATGTTGATTGGCCAGTGCAAGAAGAGGTAAGCACCAAGGATGCCTGTCCAAGCAATGTGCTTTTTTTGTTGGTGTCTGTAACTAAGTACAGTTGTAACTGAAACATCACATTAAACATCTAAGGGCCAAACATTAATAGATGCTCTAAGATTGGACACCAAACGAGAGTTCATTTTCAGTAAACAACCTTCCTGAGTGTGTCTGTTTCTGATATGAAATACCCCTACAGCAACCCATAAATTCACTGCAGAGACTCAAATACTGCTCATAAGAGCTCAGACTGTTTCTGTCAAATGCAGCAGTTACTTGCATGCACAGCAGCATAAATAAAGCTATTATCATGCCCCAAACCACTCAAGAGCAGAGATTTGTCCTAGCTGTGTTATAGCAGTGCCATTTTAATGGGCTAAATCCTCATTCTTTTGGCACTCACATCCTAGCTGTTTACATTCATGTCAGTGATGGCACGAGGGGAAAGCAGATGAGTGGATGAATTTGTCTGGTTTTACTGATGATAATTTCTTCAGGTCAGAGAGAACTGATGCCCCAGTACTGATAACTATTTTCTTTTCCTGATGGCTATGTAGCATAAGCAAGCAGGAAGCTTTTCTAATAAGCCTTTTAAGGCATCACTCACGAGGGAGAACTGGCTCTAGAAATACCCTTCTCTGGTCCCCAGAGATGAACTGACACCTGTTTGCAGTGCCAAACTCACACTCCTTCATCTTTGCTGTGCATCTGCCTCCCAAATGTTTTGGTTTGTGAAATTCAAACAAATTGTAGATGCTAGTGAGAAATCTGTGGAAAGCAAATGCTTCCTGCATTGCCACTGGGATGTAGAAATGCCTGACAGGGATGCTGGAGCACAGCCTCAGCTCTCTCAGTGTTGGGAATAACAGCCTGTATCCCTTTCAGATCCTCAGCAGGAAAGCCATCGCACACACCTGTGGGATTTTAACTGCCTGTGCCTGCTGTACTGCTCATGTTTGGTGGGCTGCTCATGGAGCCACCCCAAGGACAGCCCAGGAGCCCTGAGCTTTCTGCAGCCCAGGTGTGTCTTCCCTGCCTGCTGCCACTTGTGAAGGCAGCTGTTGCAATCCCAGTCCTTAACAGGCCCAGGAAAACTGGAGGGGCTTAAACTGACTGCAGGAAAACTGGAAGAGATCTAACCTGACTCTGAAGCAAGGGGTTTCTGAGAACAGGAAGATGGAGAAAAGAGAGGCAGTGGAAACTGCCATGAATAAAGGTAATGTGTTGTTCTGTGGTCTTGTTTGGGCTTTTTCTTTTGTAAGAACTGCAGAAATCTGTCAGCAGGACACACACACTGAAGGGCAGCAGCTCACACACAATGCTACACATGTGCATTCAGCTGCATCCAGCCCCTGTGCCCACCTTGCTCTCACCAGGTCTTCCCTGTTCCCACACACTCAACCTGCTGAGAGCATCTGAATGCTGAACAGGAGATACCTGAGATATTAATTTCATCAGCTGATGTGCCTCATCTGTTGAAAAGCTCCGGTGCAGAGGCCTTGAGAGAAACTTCTCCTCTAAAGAGGCATGACCACAGCTACTGCAAGGGGCAGATGATTCAGAGAAGTGAAGGTCACTCCAGCAAATATGGCATGACAATTTCTCTAGGAACTGGACACTGGCACCAGAATTCAATGAAGCTCACCTGGTGTTTCTCATGTACTCAGGTGATGAAATTGCTGACTGATTTTATAGGACTCATTCCCTATGATGATGACAGAAAAAAAAAAATTAAAAAGCATCACTGGATGAGATACTCTTTTCCAAGCCCATTCTGGGTCTTTTTGCTTGAAGAACTAACCAAGGCAAACACAGGGTTTAGTGTGGTTTCATTTTGTCATAACAACCCTGAAAATGTATTTTCTTGAAAGAGCATTTATTCAAACTGGGAATGTCTAATGAGCAGTGGAAGCACAGAGAGAAAATCAAGTTTGTGTCTATCAGCTATGTAAAGAGCCATACTAATCCAATCAGAAACAAAACAACACAGCAAGTGCTGTCTTACACATCCAGCTGCAAAATTATTCAATCACTATCAGCTGCTTCCACTGCTAAATGGGCAACAGCCCAGTGTAATTTGGGGAGCAACCTAAAGAGGAAAGAATCAGGGGGGGAAAAAGGTCAGTGCAGGGACTGAAGCAGAAATGAAGCTTCATGGTTGCTGTAATTCTGCTGAGACACAACCTCTCTCTCTACTGTCTCCTGGGCAGCCACCACAGGATGGCTTTACTTTGAAAAATACCTGTGAGCATGCACTGGGTGTGGATTTTCAGAACTGCCATCAGGCCTCTGATGTTCTGCCAGACTCTTAAACAGTTAAAATGTCTACTAAAAACACGTGAGTGCATTGTGAATGTCCCCAAGGGAAAAAGTAGGGCAGGCAGCCAAGCCCAGCCGGTTGTCCTGGGTACATCTGATGCAATCTCACCTACTTTACCAGGTGGGAATGCTGGGCAAGGCATTTGGATTGGGGCAAATACTGCAGCAGCCCCAACCTGCTGGATGGGTTTACACTGAGCTAAAGCCTCTAGTCCAATTTTACCCCCAAAAAAAGGTAAGAAGAGAAGAAGAATTAAGGTGCATGGGTGCAAGTAAGAGAGAGCAAATGAAAGGCTGTTGTACCTCCACAGCTAGAACTCACCCCAAAAAAGATCAGAGCTATTTCAGTAACCACAAAATATAAAAGTTAGGCTGAAGCCTGCCTAGAAACCTGCCTAGTAACAGAGTGATAAATTAAGTACATCTACTTATGGTATCTGTATGCTGCAGCTTCACAGGAGCATTTAGGTGAGGAAAGCTGGGCTTGGCCCCAGTGCAGGGCTCCCTGCTCCCCAGACTCATCCTTGCAGAGGGTCCTCACTGCAGCAGCAGCAAAACACCTCCCTCCTGCTTTCTCACAGTGTCACATCTGCAGCATTTGCAAAATCCAGCCCTAATAGATGGCACTCGCCTTCCTAACATCCTGAACCTCGCTAGAATTTCAGTAGGGGTTTCTTATTCTGTGTTTATAGAATTACCAAAGTATTTCTTTCACACAGTTGCCTCATGAGAGTGTTTTAATTAATTTGCTGTAGTTCATAATTAATATTTTTAGTAAAGCACTTTTAAAATCCCTCCTTTGGCATGCTCTGCTCTTATTGTTCCCAGCTCATGTCTGGGTTCCACGTATTTTTACCAACTAAGCTCCACATGTTTGGTGAGACATGTCTTTGTCTTTGCATACCCATGAGTTTAGACTCTTCTTTCTGTCTTTGACTGATAAAGTCTTAGAGCCATTTGTTGAAGAATAAACCAAACTTTTCCTACACAGCTTTTTTCTCCCTAGAGAATGTCAATACTTGTCACACATACAAAAGTACAATCCTGTGCATGCTGCAGGGAAATGCAAAATCCTTTTAGTCTGTCATATTCAGCTGCTTTTGGGAAGTAGCAAAACAGGGAAGAGGAACACCAAGGTCTTTGAACTCAAAACTCACCCTTCTTCTCTCACTGAGGTATATTTTCAAGCTGCCAGCAAGAGAATAATTTGAAAATCAGCTTACATTGTGTTTCCTCATATCCATCCTCATATTTTAAAATTTTTCTGAGTGGCCTCTCAGTACAAGTGTTTCAGCTACTGTAACTTGACACAAAGCAAGGCTGACATAGGAACACAGGAATTTCCACCTGAACAGGAGGAGGAACTTCTTTACTGCAAGGGAGACAGAGCACTGGAACAGACTGTCCAGAGAAGTTGTGGAATCTCCTCTGGAGATATTCAAAAGCTGTCTGGACACAATCCTGACTAAAGAGCACTTGGGGACCCTGCTTGAGAGGGGTTTGAACAAGATGAGCCCCAGTGTTCCCTCCCAGACTTGCCCATTCTGTGATCTCTCAGGAGCTCTTCACTCCTCCTGCACTCGAGGAAATGAAAAGGTGGGTGTTGTATCTCACCGGCTGAGGCATCTCTGCCGAAACTTTCCATCTTGTACACGTGCTAGAAATCCCATGGCCACTGGGTGTCAGCATCTATGCTTGGATGCAGAGGACATGGAAAGCAGGTGCAGCATCGTGCTGCCAGAATTTGGTACTTAGAAATGAAAATGAAACAGAAGGGATAATGTCTCTGTCACCATAAGGAAGAAGAGTCTTGTTCTTTCTGTCCTGCAAAGCAGAGATGTGTCACAGCTTTGTTCCATCGTTCAGCTCTGGTGTGGGGGTAACCTCACCTTGTGCCTTGTGCCCACAGCCCAGTGCTGCTCCTCTGACCAGATCTGGGTCCCCCAGGGCATGTGCCAGCCAAAACCAGCCCCTGCCACTGCCCTCCCCCATGCTCGTGCCACTGAGCACCCACAGAAAGGTCCCATCAGCCCAAACTGGTCTGACCATGCCCTGCTGTGTGTCCCTGCCTCACTGGCAGCAGCTCCTGCACCCCTGAGCCTCCGTGGATCTCAGCAGCCCCCCCTGAGTTCTAGGCACTGCCTAGAACTTGGAAGGACAACACAGTCCTTCTGGCCGCAGCTTCTCCATGTCAAGGCTTTGGGACTGCAGCAGCTAATGATTTAATCTGAAATTTAAAGAGCTTCACAGGCCATGGCAGGTTTGCAGCTCACTGCCTTGTGTGGCATTTGTACATTTGAGAGCATTGTCAACCTCTTTATTTCTATGTAGAAGCTAAATTTTCTCAGGAGGGTCTCTGGTTTTCACAGCTTCAAGGCAAGCAAATACAGCTGATGCATGTGCTTGACAGAACAATTTGAGGCAACATATTGTGGCTGAGCTGTCTGAACAGCTGAAATGGCTCTGCAAACTGTCTGTGTCAAGATACCCTTCCCAGAGCACAGAGAGATAAAACAACCAGCTGAAAAATGACACACCACAAGGCTTAGCCCCAAATTGAGGATTCATGTCCCTGCCATCCTGGGCTGCTTGCCTCCTGTGTGGATCTGCATCCAGACACAACATAGGACTGCTACAGCCAGGAAATAAAATGCCACTTCAGCAAGTCTCACACCATCAGACAAATTAAAAAAAAAAAAAAAGAAAAAAAAAAAAAAAAAAAAAAGGAATAATTAAAAAATATTAAACGTGGCTTTCCTATTTCCTTTCTTGATGGGTCTGCCAGGAAACAGTCTCAGTGTTTACGTGTGTCTCAGCCCAGGGAGGGCTGAGTGTGGGTGCTTCCTTAGGTTGGGAGGATGGATGAGCACGGTGGCAGCGCTGCTGTGGTCCCCAGTGGTGCATGCACTCCTCTGGGACAGCAAGGACAGCCTGCACAGCACCTCTGACTTCCTTTTCTGAGATGCAAAATGAGGTCGCACTGCCTTGCCTTTGATGGAAGGTGTGAAAGGTTCCTGCAGCTGCAGTGAGGGGCTTTGAGCCATGGCCATCAGCGATCATCCACGAACGATGGGTTGTGTTTCCTTGCCTGGGAAGCTGTGAATGGATGTGACAAAGGCATGTCACACCTTTGGTGTGCTTGGAGGTCCCATCTCACCAAAGCACTAGCGACTCCCGGGAGTTATTTTCATTTGAGAAAAAAAAAAGTATTTAATATTAGGGGTGTTTTTGCAAATCAGAGAACACCTTCCTTTAATGTTAATCATTGTGATTTAAAAACAAACAGAGTAGCAGAACACTCTTCACTGGAACTCATGCAGTGATGGAGAAAGCATGCATAGCAAGCAGACATGCAGAACCTGACCTTCCTAGGGGTTAGAGCCTCTCTCCAAGGCTGCTCTTGGCCATGTCACCCACCCCAAGCACCCTCCCTGCATGGCCATAGCACACAGGTGACAGCAAGCAGATGCCAACAGTGTGTTAAACCACTCAGAGCAACAGCTATCCTGCAGGAGTCACAAATTGCAGCAGCACACAGAGGTGTGAAGCTGCTCTAAACATTAACAAATGCAACCAGGCAGTGGTCTAACGTGTAGGTGAGTGTAACAGGACATGGTTA